CATTCTTCTAAACGTTTCTATTACTTTCAAACTTTGCGGTGTCAAATGCGGTCATTTATTATTCAGAAATTGTGATTGTGTCTGGACACGTTTCTCTTTATCTGCCTTGCATAAACCTTTGTTGAACAGTATTGGGAGTTCGGATGTGAAATGGACAGGTTTGAGTACGTGTATGGATGCGAAAATTTGCCTCAATTCGTGAGGTTTGTGTACCTGAGAAGTAGACTGGTCAGTCACCGAAAAAAATTATAGATTTTTGAACTTTCGAACTCGTGCTACTACACTCATATATTTTTCACTTGTTCCCCTGTTGCCACTATCTCTGATGATGGATTTCTGTGTGGGTTCGAAAGCTCAGAATGCTGGACAAATTGTTCCCTCGATCGACCAGTCTGTTTCTTTAGTCAAACACATACGCGGGCATCTAATATTCACTCCCCCCCATTGATAAGCAGGCTTCTTTTGCCCTTCCTCGTGTTATTTAGCATGTGATGAAGATACGCATCGGTGCCAGCTATCGCTTAACCCTCCTCTCATGCATTAGTCTGGTCTAGCTCGTATTTAATTTTCTACTCCGTAGCGGGTACGTTTATTCGCTAAGTTCTTCAGGGACATGCGCTAGTCGCCCAGGTGGCAACCAGTAAATCAAGCCATGTCTACTATAAGGAAATAAGTAGTTAATTATGTATAGTAAACGTGGGTGTTTGCGTCAGTCCATCCTTACCGTCTCTTATTTGATTCACTCACGGCTCTCTTGTTATTTTTATTATTTTTGAGGCCGCTAAGCGTTGGCTTGCGTAGAAGGCCTTCCCTCCTATGCGGGTTCGAATCCCGCCGAATGTGCGAGTTTTTCACAATTGGGTCTACTAAATTTTTAGAAATTGTCAGCAGGCAAGGCTTGACTAAGGAAGTGAGCACTGAAGACGTCGCTGAAGTTAAACGCGCCCTGCAGGCCTCCCTTAAGAGCGCAGAGGAGAATTTGACCCGCCTAAAGGTATACGCTTTTTTCTTTTTATCCTAAAACTTACTTGTGCGCAGACATCGACAGAGGCAGAAGAAAAGCAGGCACAAACCGCGGTCGACGAAGCGCGCGCGGCTCTTGTCCGGGTGGAACAGTCCATTTCCACCACAGAAAAGGCGCTTGTAAGTGTTCTGTCAATACGGCAACCAAAATTCATGCTGCTGCTTCCTCTTATTCTTTTTCGTCTATCATGCCACCAGTAACGGTGGTGTGCGCTCCTGTCGGGTATGACACACCTTGCCCGATTGCTAGCCAGGCTCTTCTTGTTCTCGACTAGCCTTGGCTGTCTATCTACCGCCTCTTTTCATCTCCCTCTAGAAAGATAACGCCAATGAGAGCGCTGGGGTTAAAAGGAAGTTGGATCGGGCCGCAACGTTCAGCGCCGAGCTGGAAAAGGTTAACCAAAAGCTCAAGGAAGCGGTAAGACAACGTGCCAGTGTTGATTACTTCCTTATCGTCTTCGGCCAGATAGTATTTTCTGCATGTTTTATTAGCGGCGTTTGGCAGATTTGTTTAAGTTAGCTGAAGCAATTGTGAAAAATTCTCGCGGCCTCGGTTGGAGTTGAACTCAAACTGCAGGGAAGGCTTTTGCGCTGCCAACGCTCTACCGATTGAGCTAAGAGGCACGCCGTGAATTTAATCACACATGGATCGATTTTACCAACCCAACTTATTGCTCATGTGGAATCCACCATCACGGAACAGCAAGCTGACTGCCCAGACAGGATTTCTTAAGCAGTCATCTAGAATCCACCAAAATGACTACTAGGCTCACTTAATTGTGTGGGGGGGGGGTTGGTAGATTTACCTAATTTTGTTGACCCAATTGTAACTTCGACAGGACCGACTTGTGGGGCCTCAAAAATACCGTCGACTCATAATTAAAAACAACTTTCTACTGTTCAGTAGTCCGACTTTCCGTTTTTTTTCGCCGCGCTCCCTGTTGGTCCAGTAGGGGCTAGTGATATTAAAAAATGTTCCTCAGTGAATTCGCCCAAGTTCAGCGAGCGCTCCTCAACTTACACGCGTCCGCCATTGGTCTAGTAGGGATTAGTGATGATATTTAAAAAATGCCCCTACTGGACTAAAGGGGAGCCCCTTTAAGTTGGGAGAAGGGGGTGTTCACTGACCTTGGGCGAGGTCACTGACGCCGGAAAAAACGGAAAGTCGGGCTACTGAACAGTAGACAGTAGTTTTATAATTCGACGGTATTTTTGAGGCCCACAAGTCAGTCCTGCCGTAACTTCTCTTTATGTGCCGTATTTTGACTCTGCAGCCTCTTTGAGTTTTATTTGACGTGCTTGGACTATGCTATTAACCTGCTCCGCCCCGCTGTTCATTTACCATTTTACTCACGAACTCCCCATCAATCAGACCGAGGCTCGTGAGGCCTTGGAGGATTCATCGGACGCAGGAGATAAGGAAGCGCTTGATTCACTCACTGCTAAACGAACTGAAGCGGAGGCCTCCATTGCCCGTCTGGAGTGAGTCATCCACTTTTCATCAGAGAACCTGTTTTTACCGCCCTGACTCTGCTTTCCTTCTGCCTGTATGACACGCCTTTTGTGCTTTTGCTAGTTAAAACCGAATACCTGATGTGTTGTCCTGTTTGACCTGCATTGTAGCGCGAAAATCGGGGAGTTACAGCGATCTGCCATGGTCAGTCACGAACGCGATCTGCTGCAGAAGAACCGACAGTCAAAAGTAGAGGCTGTGAGGAAACTGTAAGTGTTCTTTTCGGACGTTAGTCGAACCTCCTCAAGAAGCTTTGCTAGTCGCCCAGGTGGCAAATAGTGAATAAAAACATGTCTATTATAAGGAATTAAGTAGTTAATTCTGTAAAGTAAACGTGGGTTTTTGCGACAGTCCATCCTTACCGTCGCTTATTTGATTTACTCGCGGCTCTCTTGTTGTTATTATGATTGTTGAGGCCGCTAAGATAAACCTTGCCTGTTAGGCTGCCACGGTCGCCTTTGCTTCGGCTTTATCGTTTCTGTGTGTGGTGTTCTGTCCAATTTACGTGCCTTATCCCCACATGACTCCGCTGTGTGTATTTATTGACTAGTTCATACGCTTACAGTTTTTTTAATTGATCAGACAGGTCCGCCTCTGTAAAGATCTTTGTCTTGGGTTTTACACATTTATCCCTCGAAGTCTGCTATTCGTTTGCGGCGGCTTTTCCCTCGTTATCCAATCTTGTCAGAATTTCCCACATCTTGAATTATTTGAAATTGGAAAAACTACTGAATTATTCCTTCTAGCAGTATGAGTACTGGCTAAATGTCCAGG